GAGAGAAAAGAGAAGGAATAAAGAGGGATATAAATGCTGCATCAAGTGCTATGTGAAATTTATTAGGTGTGCTGTGAAACTAAGAGGGTGACTGAGCAAAGGTCAAGAAATGAGACAAGAATAGTAGTATATTATGTGGTTTAGTATTATGTTGGTTATCCATGGAAGTTATTGTTATGTTATGCAACTGAAGGAAAGATGAGCATCTTCATATTGTTTTGTGGCTTTTGATGGAGTCATTACATGGGGGGCAAGAAGTCCACCAAAGTGATTCTTAATTACACTAGGTTAAGGTTGCATAGGGAAGGTCTTCTTTTGGATTGATTATGGTTGGATTGGTCAGGCACTTCAGGGAAGAGATCCCATGTTGTATGCCATTTGTGATCACTAGTTTGACTAGTAGAGACTGTGATAGTTTAGAGCTTGATTGCCTTGATTTAAGTTGAGATGCTTTAGATTTCAATGGGTATATATGAGAAGCAAGACTAGAGTTGGTAAAAGGATTTTGAAGAACTGGGTGCAGGTGGTGAGGGTGTAATGATAATGGATAGCCACTGTCCAACAAATTACGAAGACTGCTGATTTTATCTATCAATTGTTAGATAAAAAAAGCGCAGATGTAAGGAAATATCCATGAGTTAGTTTCATGATGAAAGTAGAAACATTGTTGTGTGGGATCAAGCATATGTATCGAATTGGAAGAAAGTCAATTAAGGCAAAGGGTGTGCTTTATTGATGTACAAGATCCAGGAAGTGACGGAATAACACACTCATAAGGGCGAACTTTAATTAAAACAGAGGAGGCTGAAATGGATGATTGATTGGTATGGATGGATGCTGGAGATTTCATTAATACCACCAGTTGTGGGATGGGTAAGCAAATGTTGACTAAGCTTTCTGGTCATGCAAAATGAAAATGGAGACGTCTTAATGAAAACATACGCTATGGGATGACAATTTTGTGGCTCTCATTCACATTGTTTTTTTAGCCCGGTTGACTTTCAGTTTTCATATTTGAACATGTGGTTGGCCCGAAGCAGAAGGATCAAACCATGATTAAGCTATGTTGGGTCCTATTATCAATATCTAGACAGAATACCAAAGAACCATTCAGCAGCCATTTAGTCATATATCTTCTTTGAAGAAGATTGTATTTAAAAATAATTGTTTGATTTCCTTGGTTCTTCCCTGATAGTTTAAGCTTCACAATAATTTGACTGAAATTGGATTAGGAGTTCTTTGGTATGGTTGGCATAACTGTTGGTTGTCTTTGCAGGTGAGAGGTTCTCATGTTGGTACTTATCTCCCCAGCTCTGGGGTCTGGCGTCATATCCAACGTGCTCTAAAGAAAGGTGTCTCAAAACCAAAAACTGTTCATCACTTGGATTTTGATGCTCCAACGTGTGAACATGCTGAACAACTACCCGATGATAAAGTACTTTTCGATGAGCAATTGTCTCAATATATATAATTTTATTTCACCGATGAACTGCTTGTGGTCTGTTGTAGTACATTTTGAATATAATTTTGATTACATTTCAATATATTAAAGTCCTTTTCACATCTGTTCAGCACTGTATCTGTATCCTATGCCGTTCATCTTGTTGGCTTCAATTTTCCTGAAACTAGTAGATCTAGAAGATTTTTAACATTTTTTGAAATGTATTATTTGTTTATTTATTTATTATTTGTTAGAATTGTTTTTTATTTATTTTATTTTTTTTAATATCAACAGAAACAAGATGAATCTCTTCTGGAAGATGTCTGGACTTTGTTAAGGGCTGGCAGACTAGAGGAGGCATGTGATCTTTGCCGGTCTGCTGGACAGGTATGCAAATTTTTTTTGAGGTTGTAAACTTCCAGTGCCATTGTGATATTAAATTCCCTTTGGACAGCCATGGAGAGCTGCAACTCTATGCCCATTTGGAGGGTTGGACCTATGTCCATCAGTTGAAGCCCTGGTAAAAAATGGAAATAATAGAACTCTGCAAGCTATTGAACTTGAAAGTGGCATTGGTCACCAATGGCGCCTTTGGAAATGGGCTACCTATTGTGTATCAGAGGTATGGGGAAAAATATTTAATCAAAGTACTTTCTGTGAACGGACTTTCTTATGCAATTACAATGATTTCTATAAATGTCGCACACAAATTCCTTGTGCTCCCTTTTTCTCAATATTTTGTGGCTCTAAGTTTTCTCTTCAGCAACTCCCATTGATTGATAAATCAAATCTTGTTCACTTTCTCTTGTAAGATTGGGAGACAATTGATGTTATTGTAAATTGTTTTCTGCTCTTGTTGTTTGGAGATTCTCAATATTCGTAGCTTAATAAGATGCTGCCATATCTCCATTAAAAAATGGTTGATCAATTGAGTGATTTTCTTTCTTCTATGCCTTCTTATATTGAAGAGAATTGTAGAGCAAGATGGTGGGAAATATGAAACAGCAGTATATGCAGCCAAGTGTAGTAACTTGAAGCGTATTCTTCCTATTTGTGCAGACTGGGAGGTAATATTTTGCTCCTTAATGATGTTACCTTCTAATTTTTTATCAGTTTTTTTTTTTTGGGTGAATAATTTTTTTTTCTCAGTTTTTGTTCACCCATAATTTGCTTTGATACATCTTTTGAGCTTTTTGTAAGAACAATAACTATTTATTCCTTCTACCTATTACTTGGCATAAAATGCATATGAGCATATGCAGAAGCTCTCCCAGTTGTGGTTTTGATTCTAAGCATGTCTATTTAGCTTCTACAACATGGATTGCAACATATATATATATATATATATGTATAATATATATTGAGGAGGCTGTTTGGTTAGGCTGATTTCAGAAAAGCTCAATGGGGTTTCTACAAATAGAAGTATGTGGGATTTCGATTCCTTTATAAGAGTGTGAGTTGATTGATCTACCCTTGAGTAATGCTTGGTTTACTTGGTCTAATCTTCAAGAGAATCGTGTTTGTTGTAGGTTGGATAGATTTCATCATACTTTGGGTTGGGAGGACTTGTTTCCTAATTTACGGCAAGAGGTAGCGCCAAGAGTTGTTTTGGACCATTGCCTGGTGGTTTTTGAGAGTTGTCCCTTCAAATGGGGTCCAGACCCCCTTTAGATTCGAGAGCGTATGGCTGGAAAATCGCTCTTTTCAAGCTTATTTCAAGGAGTGGTGGGAGAATGGAAGAGTCCATGGGTTTTATGCGGAAGTTGAGAGGGTCAAGGAGAGTTTAAAGGATTGGAAGCGTGAAGTTTTTGGTGATCTAAATGAGTTGAAAGCAGAGTTAGTTTGGGTTATTGAAGATTTGGATGCAAACGAGTCTGGGGAGTGTTTATCTAGGACTTCAAGAGATTAGAGATCATTGCTCAAATTAAAGTTGGAAGAGCTTGATTTTAGGGAGCATATTTTTTGGGGACAAAGCTAACTTGAAATGGGCAAAAGAGGGCGACATCAATTCAAGATTTTTTCATAGGGTTGTGTCGGGGAAAAGGAAGAAGAATTTCATTAAAAATTTGGAAATTGGGCAAGGATTGGTGGTGAATAAGGAGGAGCAAATCATTAATGAGATTTTCAATTTTTACTAGATTCTCTATTCTGATGGAGGAGTGGACCGTCTAGGGATCAAAGGTATTTTTTGGGCTCCTGCGGATACCTTGAAATCCAGTTGGCTCAAGAGACCCTTTGAAGAATGTTCAGTGCAATAGGCCGTGTTTGAATGCGAGAGAGATAAGGCTCTAGGCCCGAATGGTTTCTCAATGGCAAGTGTATCGTGACCGTTGCGAGATTGTGAAAGGGGATCTCATGAAAGTGTTTGGTGAGTTTTTTGAGAGTGGGGAAAGGTGCTCTCCAAAAGGGAAGTCGGTCAAGATTGGAGATTTCAGGCCCATTAGTTTGGTTACGTCACCTAACAAAATTTTGGGAAAGGTGCTCTCCAAAAGAATTAGGGCTGTCCTTGGGGAAATCATGTCTCCCTCACAAGGAGCCTTTGTGCATGGACGACAAATGTTGTATGTGGTCCTAGTGGCCAATGAGATTGTTGACATTTCGGGGACACAAGGACATGACAGAGACACGTATGGGACACACCGCATGGCGTGTTCTCTTATTTAATTAATTTATTTTTAGGGGACACACTAGGGACATGCCAAGTTATCTTTTTTTTCCATTTTATTTAGTACTTTTGATGAATGTTAAATATTTATTATTTTTTTTCTTAGATTTGAATACTTAATAGATCATCTATAAAAAAAATGTGTTAATTTAAAAGTGTTTTTTTTTTTTTTTGCATAAAAAAGTATAAAATTAGAATTAAAGTTAGTTTTGTTAATATTGATTGTTTGTGGATGTAATATTAATCTAGATAGCAAATAAAAATATATGAAAACATATTTTATTGTTGTGTCTCTGCAGTGTTCGTGTTCCCATTTTTTGGAAATCGCCATGTCCTGTGTCTGTGTCCGTGTCCGCATCCGTATTTGCGTCCGTGTTTCTTAGTTGAGGAGTATAGGGGATTGCATAAAAAGAGCACTGTTTTTATGGTGGATTTAGAGAAAGCATATGATTATATGGATTGGGGCTTTTGGATTTTGTGTTGGAAAGGAAGGGCTTTGGGTCTAGGTGGAGGAGGTGGATTTGGGAGTGTGTGTCGTCATGCAATATGTTGGTTATTGTGAATGGTAAGGTTGGGAATTCTTTTAGGTCATTGTGAATGTTGTCATGCAATGTCACCATTTTTGTTTATTTTAGTAGTTGATGTGTTGGGCAGAATCATCGATCTGGCTAAAGAAAAGGATGTTATCGAACGATTTGTGGTGGGTAAGGATAGGATTGGTGTCACCCATTTACAGTTTGTGGATGACACTATCTTTTTTTTGATCAAAAGAGTGAAAGGTTGGCAATTTGCTGATGCTATTGAGAATCTTTGAAATTGTGTCGGGGCTCAAGGTCAATCTTAGTAATAGTAGTGTTGTGGGTATTAATTTGGAGTTTACCTATGGGCAAAGGATTGCGGATATGCTGGGATGTCCCATTAAGTAGTTTCCTCTCAATATTTGGGGCTTCCATTGGGAGGAGATCCTAGATCGGCATATTTTTGGGAGCTTGTATTTGTCAAAATTGGGAAAAGATTGGAGAGTTGGAAGTGAGCTTTGTTATCTGGGGGGGGGTATATTTTGGTATAGTCCGTGTTGGGTTATGTTCTTATTTACTTCTTATCCTTGTTCAAAATTCCGGTCAACATTGCGAGGAAAATTGAGAAATTGATGAGAGATTTTCTTTGGGAAGGGTCTGATGAGGGTAAAAGGGATCATCTAGTTAAGTGGGAGGTTGTTTCTCTTCCTAGGGATAGAGGGGCCCTTGCTATAGGAAACATTGTTACTAGGAACATTGCCCTCTTGAGTAAGTGGTTATGGAGATTTCCTGTTGAAAGTGGGTCGCTATGATATTCTATCATTAAAAGCAAGTATGAAGTTCAAGCCAATCTATACTATATATATAACCAAATGTAGTTGTTTTGTCAAAAGCCTCCAAATATTTATTCCTAAATTCTCATAATTTTAAAACCCTCTCTTTCCTACGTGGCAACATATTGCCTTTCATGTTTTCTAGCCAATGGTAGATATTCTAATGTGGTTACTAGAGGCAATTGTCGTTCTCCTTGGAAGTCGATCACGCGTTTGTATCCACAAGTGTCCAATTTCCTGTCATTGAAAGTGGGGAATGGGATGAGTATCCTATTTTGGGAGGATGTTTGGTTAGGAGATTCCTTGTTCGATAGACCTTTTCGACTCCTTTACAGATTGGTTCGTACTCGGGATGTTTCAATAGCGTCGGTGGCATGTTCTAATGTGGCACCCATTTCTTGGAATCTTGGTTTTCGTAAGAATTTAAATGATAGGGAGGCTGGTGAGTTGGCTTTGTTTTTATTGATTGATGGGGTTTTTCTTTCTTCCTCTTGTGAGCATCGGCGGGTGCTGGCTGATGGCACTGTGGTAGTAGGGGTGGCCAGTGGTGTGGTTGTGGAGGGGGGGGGGGGCAGGGGGGGGGGGGATAGTGTACCTCTAACCTGTTATGGCGGTGTGTTTGTGGTGATGGCAGTGGTTGTCGGTGCGTGATGTGTGCTTGTAATTGTGCATCGATGGTGGTGATGATAATGTAGTAATCGCCGTATAGTGACTGTGATGGTTGCACAATAGGGTGGTGTTGTGGGCGATGGCTAGAGTAGTAAATGGTGGTGGCAAGTATGGGAAAGGAGTGGTATAAAAAGGAATGGTGGTAGTAGCTAATGCCATAATGTTTTGTAGTGTCTATGATCGTAATGGAATGACTATTCCTTTAAGTTTAGAGAAAGGAATAGGCATTTCACACATGCAAGTTTTAAAAAGCACCGCAAACCGTTACGTAACGAGTTGTTAATGGTTACTTGCCAACCCATTACGGACCGCTTTTCCAGTTGAATTGAGATTCACCACAGTGTGTCAGGCCGTTAGCGGTCACGTAGCGATTCGTACGGTTGCCGTATACGACCTGTTACCGCACCTTACGTAAGGTTTCTGAACAAAAATAATGCTTCTTTCGAAAGAAAAGAACACACAAAAAAAAGCTGAAATTAAGGGAAAGAGGAGATAAGAAGAAGACGGAAGATTAAGAGAGAAAATGGAGGAGTAAGAGATAGAGAGAGAGGAGGAAGGATGAAAAACAAGTATGGATTTCTTTGAAGCCGTGTAGACCTATGCTATTCTATTCAGCTGCTATCACTCAACCATTTTGTTTGTGTGTGTCTTATCTATATATTGTTATGGAAAAGTAATAATAATAAGTGTGGTCATTATCTATTTAGCTTGGTTAAAATATGTATAGCTATAATTAATATATATATATTTAGACTCTTATTTATTTCTCTTACTTTTGTTATTATTTACTTATATAAATAGTTAGTGGATTGATCTTTGTATAATATAAAGTCATTAATATTAAAATAAAATTAAAAAAAAACTCAATTATTAGTGATTAAAATATTGGAAATAATATTGGATCATACTTAAAATTTAAATAAAAATTGATCAATATTTTATTTTAAACCAATAAAATATGATCATGGCAAAAAAAATATATGCATCGGTAAGTTATTTTTGCAAATTGTTGCGAAAAATAAAAAAAATTCATTGTTTCGGTTACCGCAACCGTTACGTTACGGCTTTTACACCCCACAATGTAAACCGCACCACCAGCTACCGTTACGGCGACCGCAACGGACTTTTCTAGAAATCTGTGACATAAAAAAAAATAAGACAAAGTTCATCTCACCATCGTGCTACTTATTGCCTTCATACAACTACATTTAAACAGTTATTCAAACTAATAACAATATGGACAGGTTCAATAACTAATCTCCTTTCATTACAGCAGTTCAGAAACTAAATTACAAAGATTAACTATTCTGCAATTCAACCACCTCTTATATCAGTTTATCTACATAATTTTTAGGATTAATTTCGAGTTTTACCTGTAAACTAATTTGCCGTTTTT